TCAGCGAATTTAAACAGGTTACTTTCCACCCCATCATCTTGTGTACATTTGCAGTGTGAACAGTATTAAAGTCCAAACTGTCAAGCTAAGAAGCAGAGAGCTGTGAGGAGCCAAAAGTTTAAGATTCTTGCTAAATACTGTGTCTTTGAAATGTACATAATTTTAAGAAACAATATCAGAATCTAAAAATACAAAGTAGAACAAGCTGCTTGAACATTTACTCATAGTAGTGAACTTACCAACATTTCCTTGTTAAAATTCAACTCTATATACAGGTGTTCGGATATTGTGGCAACTGGTGTGGTTATGAGAATCTGAATAGAATAGAATTATTTCTTAAAATCTCTTAAAATTGTACCTAAATAAATGTAGAGTATATAAAACAAAAACACATTTTTTTTGTGTGGCACTTACATTAAACAGTTGATATGTTCGCTTTATAAACTGTTTTCCATGTTTAATGCAAGTAGATTACTATTTTCCCTTTGTTATGTTTAGAATTATACAGTTTTTACTGTTGGCTTGTGAGAAGTTTTCCAGACTTTACTAATGCTGGAATAATTTCATCAGGAAGTTAGGAATTCTAACTAAGTCTGTTTTTTGCACATTTTCTAGTCAGAGCAGCAGAAGAAACAGCAAGAAGCTGAGAAGCAGCATCATCAGGAAAGGAAAAACCTCAGACGGTCTGCTGGCCAACTTAAGAATAAACGTGGTAGAGGGCGGCCATTTTAGTGACTCCTCAAAGAAGCTGCCTTATTTTCACTTGTCACCTGCGAAGTGGGACTTTATGGCACAGGCTTTTTCCTTTTTACATCTAAATTATGGATACAAGAAAACTAGAATTTGTTAAACCCTTTCTAAGGCAATGAAATGTTTACAAAATATTAGTGGATATTTATGAAAAGACACTAAGGGCAAGGTTTTTTTAATGACCTTGGAGTCTTATTTAAATTGGTACATGAAGTACCATGACTGGTTATTGTGTAACCCTGGATACGATTCATATGAAAGTTGGTTGATAAAAACAGAACTCTCTTTCTGTCTCTCTCTCTTTTTTTTTTAAAGAAGTAGTGAATTTTACTTTAATGAGTTTATTTACTGTTTAAACAAAAATGTATTGAAGTTTTAGGCTGCTGAGATGTAGGTTGACTCATTTTGTCCTTAAATTACTTGCACCAGCAATATATCAAATAGAAACCCCTGATACTGCTTCAAGAACAGTGCACACACAGGGCTAAAGACTGGGCTTGATGCATACTGGTAGGTAAGGCCATGATTCAGCAAATGCCTAAATAGCAGCATGTTGAAGTCCAGTGAGACTTCTTCCATTTTAAGCATTTGATAAGTACCTTTTATAAATGGGAGCTACATTTGGGGAAAAAACTTGATTATTCTTGAAAGAATACCCAGTGCTATATTAACATGGAGACAGGTCTTGTATTAAAGTATCCCTTAGTTGCCTTACCCAAGTTAAGATATGGATATACAATCAGTTTGCCGTGGGATAAAAGCAGCTGGGTTTTAATGTACATTAGCTGTTTTATAATAACTACCTGTACGCATACTTTTACTTTGCAGTAAATGAACTGAGCCACAGTAGCTTAACTTTTATTGAAACAGAGTTATGTCACTATGGTTTAGCTTCCACAAGCTGTGGGGTAAAAACAGGCCTACGGGTAGTTAACACAGAGTAGCTGGCATACAGTAAATCCCCTTGTACTCTTACCCCACAGTAAGTTGTTTGTATGACTGCTCAAGTGTCTTTGACATCTCATGATATAGAATTGAAATGTCATGACACTTGAAACTAAATTGAACAGCTGTCTAGCGTGTTAAAGTCGCTACATTTTTCAAGCAGGGTGAAATCAAACTTTGCAGAGAGGACAAGTGCAGGAGCTGAGACATCACATAAATTCTGCAAAGGAGGGAATTATACTTTTAGTTCATTTGGATCTTTAAAAAGTATTGTCATTTAAAAAAAAATAGCTTTTCCATTTATCTTTGGCTACACCAAAGGAATTGAAATCTCTGAATAAAATTTCTATGCATAAGGATCAGTAAACACTGATCCTTCAATATCATAACATTGTTTTTCTGGATTTTTAAGACCAGGAAAGACGGATTGACCAGTGTGATCTACTGTATGAGAAGTCTTTTATTCTGCTACTCCTGTAGTGAACCTAGTAATTTAGGATTGGCTATACCAAATCATCCAGAATCCATCTTGGTTTTTAAAGATACCAAGAGATGAATAGTCCACCACTTCCCTTGTTAGTTGTTTGGGTGATTAATTACCTTCAGTTAGACTGGTTTCTTATTTCTACTTTAGGCAATGGCTGTATCTTCCATTTTTATTTCATTACACATTTTTCTCTTTGAAGTCTTTTTAGTGCCATGGGGCCTCTTTTCAAGGAGGTAATTTATTCACTGTACTCTGGTCAGTTTTCAGTCTTTTGTGTTAAATCAGATTAACTTCATTCAGTCTCTCATGATGTTTCATTTTTTTGCATGTGTAGATGCACCCACTGTAACATTTTACATAGACTAATCTCACATTTCCTTTTGTCGCCAACATTCTTCATGAACTATGGTCTCCATGCCCTTGTAGGTGGGTTCTGTCCTTCTGCGTGTATGATTTCTTTGATTTAGTCTTTTCAGAACTATGGTCACTGTTAAATTGATGCCAAAAATGCATAGGGAAGCTGCACAAGGTAAAACAAGTTTTTTTTTTCCCCAAGTTTATTAAAACGTGAGAACCCAGTTCTTATATTAAAATCAGCAAAAGTGCTTTAATTTCATGAATGTGATGGGTGCTCTGCTATTGTGGCATCCACAGTTATGGGGAGCCTTCCTGTTTGGCCCCGGTTTGAGAACTGCTTCATTAGTCATTTGAAGGAGGAGGCCCTGGAACTGCTGAACCTTCCCCTGCTCCTGCGGTGTTCACTGACTTAAAGAGGAGGGCTGGCAGGGGCCTTGAGAGAGGTCATTTAGTCCATTCTCTCATCCCAGTGCAGGATGCCTAGATCCCCCATACCTAGAACATTCCTGACTGACAGACAGCTGTGCAATCTTGAAAATTTTAGTTAGAAGTTTATTTTGTATGGTCTAATCCAGGCTTGGTCAATCCAGAGTGCACATGCCAAAAAAGGCACAAGGAGACTCTGTGTGATGCACATGGCAGATTGGGAAGGGAGCAGGGAGCACAGCCCAGAGCAGGAAGGGAAGGGGATTGAGTGGCACTCAAGAACTTACCTTGTGGTATGCCTGCCAAAAAAGTTGGACCCCACTAGTCTAATTTAATCTTTCTTGTTCCAATTTATGCTCATTTCTACTTGTTCTACCCCCAGTGGACTTGGAGAGCAGTTTATGACCTTCCTCTGCAGTAGTATTTTATATAATTAGGAAGAAATCAGGACAGGGTGGCATCTTATAGACTAATTTATTCAGGAAGACATGAGCATTACAGCCTACGTTATAAATTATATAAAAGCATCTGATGATGTTTATTCTCAGTGTTTTCTTCTTTAGACTTAACAAACCCAATTCATTTCAATCCTTTCCATAAGTCACATTTTCTAGGTCTGGTTTCTGTTGCTCCTCTGGACTCGTTCTATTGGTCTTGTATCTTTCTTGAAGTGGCAATGTACCCCTGCTGAGGCCTTGATGAAGGCTGAGTAGTGTGGTAGGATTATATAAAATGTTAATATATTTTACACATTATAATGCAATTACATACACTTCAGTGCATATCATAACATGGATCCAGCCCAAATCCTTTGATCTGTTTCTGGAGCTCTGTTACCAGCAGCAAGCTCTGAGTATTGTATAACTTTGCCCTCTGTTGCAGGTCTTTGTGAGTGGGGGGTGTTATTTTACTAAATACTTCATGCTCTTTCGAAAAACCTTCCCCTCCCCCAAGTGGGCCTCTTGTGTGGGCCTTGTGTTATAAATAGTTATAAACTTGGAGATTTTTGGCACACTAATAATAGAATATCTGGAATTTCTGACAGTAGGGACAGTCTCAGGGTTGATAAAGCCTTTCAAGAATCCTTTGCATCTTTCCTTTGAACAAAGGCCTTTAGTTACTTGGTTGTCTGGTCCACTTGTAACCCGTCAGAATTTGTCTCATGGAAGAACTGACTTTCTCTGTAATCCTATGAAGTTTGGCCACTTTGGGGTCATTCCATCCCTGAGCCTGTCAAGATTCGAATCCTGTCAGAGCTCAGAGGACTGTGGCCCATTTCTGGGTGGTACCAGGTCCTCTGAGAGCTGGAACCTTTTTTGCTTCAGTGTTTCTCCCTTTTTTGTTTAACCCTGCTTTTTGCCACTGTTGTGTTTGTAGTCTTTAGAGGCCTGCTGCAGTCAGGAAGCTGCTAAATCATTTGCATCTCTTCACCCACTAAACCAAAGTGAGATCATCCTCACTCATTCAGGTGAGTCACTAGCCTAACATAGAGATCTTGGTGGTGGGAAAAGAACTTTCAGGAGTCTGCAGCAGTGGTCCTCCTGGTTGAGAGAAATGACACCCGCAGCTCTGGCATTCAGAGCACCTCCGTAGCTTTGGAGTTTTCTGGTTCTAGGCACTTGTAGCACAGCATTGTACAATATCCAGTTGGCTAAGAGACTCGTCCATGATGGTGGACAATGACCAGGCCTCAGTTAATGATGATCCTCTGTCATCTTTTGTCTGTATTACAGTCACGTGATACAGCATATCTTCTTAGCAACCCAGGCTATTGTAGGCACATCAGAATGGTCCTATAAGTCCCATACTGGTTTCCTATATAATTTTAAACATCAAGTTCCAGGGCTTGGTCCTAATCTTCCATGTTCTCTCAGTGACCTGTGTCAAGGATATCTAAGGTCATTTGTTGAAGATTGTGATTTTCAATTCTGCTCCCTTGGGACAATGAAACTCCTAAGTTAAAGCTCATGGGGTGGGGCAAGGAGGAAAGCCTTTTCAGGCCAGTCCAAAAAGGGGCCAACTAATTTCCATAGAAGCAGTGACCCATCCCAAACTTCACCACTTCCTTTTCCAAAGGCAAGGTGCATTTTTTTCAGCATTGCCCTTGTTAACAATCAGGTAGCATGTACATTTTAAAACATTACCCTGAATAAAATACTAAAAGAAACATCCTTTATTTGTAGTCTATGATGTAGATATATCTGATTTTGCAGATTCAAGAAATTCATTATAATACACTTAGTAGAAACTTATTTTAAAATTGTTTTTAAATAGGGATCCACTAAAGATTGTCTGGGTTTTGGCTTAGTTTTTAATGCTCAATGTCGTCATGAGGAGGAAGTTCACAGAGCTTCTGTCCGGTGTGACTTTCTCAGACATTAATTATCTTTTTGGACTGTAAACTGAAAAATCCTATATCATTCTACTCGACTAACTAACCTCTTATTAAAAACAATTACTACTATGGTGGGTAACAAAAGTTTTTACCAAACAAAAAAGACTTGTTGGCTTGATCTCTGGGTGATTAAGCCAACAAGTAAGCCTTATATCTATACCTCACAAATTAGAGGAAGCAAGTTCAAGCAAAACAAAAAAGAAAAACACAGTCTTGAAAGGGTCTAACTAATACAATTTCTGCAAACAAAAATGTCTTAACTATTCTCTGAATTTGTTTTAGACAGACATAAAGCACAACTAGTTGATCTAACTTATTTAATATTGCAAAAGACATTGGATGTGGTCTTGTACAAAGTAACTAAAAAAAATTTGAGTAAAATGCAGATTTTTGTTGTAGATTGAATGCGGCCTAAAAGATGGCAAAGAATACCCATAGACCATTTTCATTAGGAGATAGCAAAGAGTAATTATTAAATTGTCCATTTTCATCATGGCAGAACAGTGTGTTTTTCAAGGTTCTGCAGTTAGGTCCAGTGTTTTAATATAACAAATGCTTTAGTAAGGAAGTTGAGTAGTGAGGTAGCAAAATTGTCAGTTCTTTATTTAGATTAGAGAGGAGCAGGGAGAATGCAGAAACTTCAGAGACACCTTAAATAAAATTGCAATTGTCTGACTTGGCAGCCCAGTGACACATGCAATTCAGGATATGTACAGACATTTGGGGAGGTTAGATAGAGGTAAAAATGGCCACCTGTTTGGGATGGAGGGAGGGGAGCAGATCAGGGGGTCAAGCAGGGTATGTGGGAGGGTGTGGGGAGAGCAGGTGAGAGATGAGTCTGAGGATGGGCGTTGGTGGGGACTGGGAGGGTTGACTGGTCTAGGTTTGTCTGTTTGGGGCTGGGGCCAGTAGCTGGGCTTCTCCAGCCCCAGATCTGCGTTGGGAACCGTACAGAAGTTCAGTTAGATCAGTCTTGTTGGACCAGATCTAAATTAAACCGTCTTGGAGGTGCACTTAACTTGGATTGGGTTAGCCATTTTTAGGTGGATCTAACAGTCCTGAACTTCTGTACAGTTCGCATTTGGATCCCTAGTTAGGTCAAGCTGGGTGAACTAAAGTCCAC